TTCTTTTCTAAAAAAAGGGGAGAAACCACAGACTTGAGTGGCTGAGTAATTCAGTGTAGTGACACCCTGTCCTCGCACCGCCTCGTTGGGCTGGTGGAGCTGTCCTCGCAAAATACGTGGAACAGGCCATGGGACATCAAATGGGTTGGAACAAAATTCAAGGATGACCTTACAATCTAACATATTAATAAATAACAATCATTGTAACTGCAAACATGAAAGGTAGAGTGACCAAAGAAGGTCGGATGTTGAGCCAATGTGTTGATGTGGTGAGATCAATTGATCAATTGCCATGAAGCGCGAAGAGCTGTTGTGAGTTCGTCGATCAAAGAAAAGAAACTCTGACGAAACCTCTCTCTGAAATCTTGCCACAACGAGCGTTACTCCAGCCAGCTGCTGGGTTTTGTGTTTTTTAACACAGGTTAAGGTGGGCGAGGCATCAACAAAAAAACAAAAATGAATCAACAAAAAAGTATATTTCAGTGGATCAAGAACAAAAATGAATCAAAAACAGTAAACGGACCCAAACGTGCAAAGGGAAGAGCAATATTCCATAAACGGGTGAGGGATCAACAAAAAACAAACATGAATCAAAAAAGAAAAAATCTTGTGATCAAGGAACAAATGAATAACATAACAAAAATAAACGGACCCAAGCGTGCAGAGGGAAGAGCAATACAGTATTCCAAAGCAGTGATCAAAAGTAAAAAACGCATCGGAAAAAACACAGGAAAATCACATGAAATGAAATGAAAATAGAATTAATACGAATTGAAAGTGAAAAAAGGAAGGAAGAAAAACTGAATGAGTCAATGAACAAATGAAAATCATGAAGTGAAATGATGAAATGAAATGAATTGAAGTGAAGTGAAATGAATTGAAAGGAAAGAATGAATGAGTGATCGAATGAATGATTGAATAGAACGAATGATTGAATGAATGGATTGGTTTGGATTGGATTGGATTCAATTCAATTCGTTTTTTTTCAGTTCAATGAATGAGTGAGTGAGTGAGTGAATGAATGAACGAATGAACGAAGGAAGGAAGGACGGAAGGAAGGAAGGGAGAAAAGAAAATACACAAATGAAAAGAGATAAGTGAACAATAAAACCAATATATCGATAAGTAACATAAATAGGAACGGGCTAGTCTAGAAAGCTATACCCGAAACTATTTCTACGCTCAACAATTAAAAGCCGGAGGGGCCCCGCAATGCAACTTGGCACGACCAAAAAACAAATATCATGGAGTTTTCCCCAATGAATCTTCCTTTGATAGCCCCAATGGTCTCTGCGCTGGGCATCTGGGTAAAGTTTTGCAACATCGTATTTCAAATTTTGATGCATGTTTATCTATTTTTTGATGCGTCTCCCGGTTAAGGTCATGCACTGCAATCTGGTCATTCCTTGCACTTACGTTGCACGCCTCCTCTGCGCCGGCACTTGGGATGCCTTAGTCAAGCATTCATTCTGGATGTCTAGTTATCTTGCCCTTCCCCATCTAGTCTATACTGATCTCTTCATTTTGGCATGTCTTGTTGAGGACCGAGCCGTAGAATTTGTCGAAGCCGTCCCGAGAGTCCAAAGACTGAGAGTGGCAAGACAGAAAATGATACGGCAGAGCGGCAGAACGTGAGCCCTTTATACAAAAAGAGGTTAAAAAGCAAAGCCATGCAAAGGGTCACAATACCACCCATTTGATTGTCCCTTTAACATCCTTTTAACCCTCAAAAACGAAGAGAAACAGTGAATGCAACGGTCTGCTAAAGGCAATGCTCAACTACTTGATCAATGTGAATATCACAGCAAATGGAGCTGTGTAGCTGTCAAGGCGCAGCAGTCAACAAGAGTTTACATGTCTACCTGGAAACTTGCAAATTCCGGATCAAAAGCGTTGACACGTGAGGCATGATCTTCGATTCAACTGCGCCCAATGCCTTTCTCAGCTTTTTCTTTTCTTTCGACTTCTCAACGCCAAAGAAGACCTGATGCAGTGGCATGAGCAATGCACTATCTGCATACAACTAAATGCTAAAGCTGGGTGAATTTGGGTCAGCATGATTTGACTGCTGTACTAGTACAATTGCAAGATGTTATGATCGCTATATTTGAATGGTAGTGAATAGGCAGTTTGAAGATTTAATTTTCCAATTGCTATATACCTACTATTGCACAACATACAGCAGTCAGCATCGTTTTTGCCTGATTTTGGGGATTCGATATGATTCGGTCCTGTGTCGACCTTTGAAGGTTTGGCTTTGGCTTTCTTATGTTCCTTGTATTGTTGGCACAGGCCTCGAAGCCATCACGCTCCTTGACAACCCCGCCACGCTGACCCAGCGCCTGGCGCATTGGAGATGGAGCACAGTCCAGCAGGGTCTGATGTCATGTCAAGGCTACCATAACAAAAGGGAGCAATGTCACAATTACAGAGTGGCAACACCAGGAATCATCCAATAATGAAAATATATTGCTGGTAGACAAAGGCTTGTGAAGCTCTGCCTTCTTTGCATTCGTCTTTCTCACTCTTTCTGTCCCCTTCTTTCCAAAGCATCAGCTGGTAGCTGCCGTCTGATAGTTGGAGCCTTCTTCAGGGATGAGTTGCCAGATTGAGGTCTGGGGTATGGCCTATCAGCACTGGCAATTCAGCAAACATCATGCCTCGCTAAACAAAAAGCAAACTTCCCTGAACGATGGGAAAGCTAAACGCTAAAGCATGGCTCACAACGCATCTAACGTAAATTAAGCAGCAAACAGTAACCAACTTATTCAACTCATGTCTCTCGTACGCAGCTCCTTTTGCATGGCTTCTTTATATCCCCAAGTTCCTTCTAGCCGCCCAAGCTCGTCACTGCTTGCAGGAAATGTTGACAACATTCATTCGCAACACTGGCCATTGAGGCTTATACGGTATATTGTACTGCCAAATGCTCTAAACAAGTGCTGTATCTTGCGAAATAGAACGCACGAACTTTGAGGCACAACAATGACAATATTCGTCTGCTTGTACGTGTTCCCAATTGTTCCCAAGAAATGTCATGCCTCGGTTGGAAAAGGCCTGCAAAACCTGTCGATGGACTCGCCCACATCACGTGCAACTCTCTGTAAGTTTGTCAAAGTGGAAGACAAGGGCGACTCAAGGAGCTAGCGACGCTCTCCTCTTGAAACACCAAATGTTTGTGGAAAAAATGCCAAATGTGTGAAACTATATTATCCGTCAACCTGTTTCTGGCAGGGCTACTCCTAGAGGCCTTGGAGAGCTCATACTGACAACTCATGCTGATGCAGGCTAGTTCCGTTTATGGGGAACACATCAACGAACTTCAAGAATAAATGGACTGATGGTGTCATTTGAGACATCAGTAGCCTTACCTGCATTAAACATGCTAAACTGCTAATGAAGAAAATGCCGGACAACCAATGCCCAAAGGAGTTTGAGAGTTCTCAGCGGCCTAGCCACTCCGAGGAAGAAGAGGAAACTGTCGGTGAGCTTGCCTGAAGAGAACTGATGCAAAGTTCAAGGAGAGGGACCAGGTACGATCAGCTTCTTTGGATCCTTATGATGTTTTGCATTTTCTATGGCCTTTTTGTGATCTTTATCTATCCCTCTCACCCTTCTGAAAGCAAAAGCAAGTCGAGGTGGCAAAAGCTTCATTGCATGAGGTGGGTCGTTGCCCTTCGAAGAAACAGTGCTCCCCTGGAACGACAACCAAATACCTATATGAAACCAGAGTCAATATTGTCTAGCATAACTTGTGAAGCCATTTCAGCGATCCACATCTGCCAACTCACGACTCAAATGAGAACTGTCTGAGGTTGGCACTACCGAACCATTGCCTGTACACTCAAACGGATGATAAAGTTGCAACTACGATGCTTGTCAAACCCACACCCACCCCCCTGACACACCCAACCCACCACATAACAAATCTCAAGGACTTGAGCCAAGCATGCCATTCTAGACAAATCAAAACAAATTAAAGGAAGATGAGGCCTCCTTTCAACCTGTCTCAAGAAAATTTACTGGATGCAAGCTCCAGTGGCCTGCAGAAGTGCTGGAGGAGCTCGATCTGCCACTCAACTTTTGCCTGTGCCAAGCTCGTGGCTTCGTGATGGCCTTTCGTGGCTGAGTCTTAACAGATTCACTTCTGCAAGGCATCTCCCTCTCCCTCTCTATGTGTTTTAAGATCTTTGTTCACAACTGAGACTCAACCCAGCTACATCACGATCTATTGTTGAACCGTTTGTGTAGATCTTGTCTGTTTTGTCCCCACCTCACCATGCACCGACTAAGACAGCACCCACACGTTTGAGGCTCCCAACGGTGGTCGAGAGCCGCTGGCGGAAGACGGCTCCTGCCAAAAGTTTTGTAGCAAGGTACATTATATACATTGCCAGAGTCTGGAGGTTTGTGAAAGGACATGCGGTTTTTGTTCCAATTTCAAGATCCATGCGCTGCTTGTTTGGCATCGAACTACATGACATACCTGTTTGCAGCAACGTGGGGCGTGAGACGTTTGGGCCTTACTTCCAAAAGATGCCCATTCACCACCACATGAAGGAACCTTAAAATTACCTTAACCAGGTGAGTGAAGCACCGCAAGCACCTGTGGTGAGGTCACACTTGCTTGTTGCGCTTGGTTCGGCCTGCGGGGGGGAGCAGCCGGGCAGTGGGCAAAGCTATACAAAGAAAAAAGAGAAAAATGGGAACTTGATGGTTACAAGTACCTACACAACCTGAATTGTGACAAACCATCCTGACTTTGCACTGCAAACTGTCTCATTCTATCCAAACCCACGACTGCATGACGGCATCAAGGACGTCACTTTTGCAGAGAAAAGCACAGCTTTCGGTACTGGGGCCTTCCAACAAATCTCCTTCATAATATGATATGTTTCAAAACTCACTCTGGAACACCAAAATTGCTCATGATTGCAAAAGTCAAGAGCAAATCCAGAACTCACCCTTGTCTGATACAGTTTGAGTAGTGTCAAATCAGCATGCACGTGCAATTGACCAGTGCGAGAATCATGTCTGTTTTTGCTCGTTAGCCCGCGTTGGGATCGGTGGCGCCATGATGAGAAGACCTGGTGGCACCGATGCTGTTACAATTCTCTTGGAGCAAATGATCAAATGGCTCCACTAAGTCTTTAGGCTCCCGATTGTCACACTTATGAATTATGACTGAGGAGTCAGCCTAGACAGCACTCAAGCCTATGTGAGAAAGGACAAGAAACACATTCTGCATGCATAATAGTGTCATGTTAAGGCCACCAACCTACCAAACAAGTCAACACAACTAAACAAACTAATTCCACACATGAAACATATTCTAACATGTGTCGCCGTGCAACAGTGAGCTTCAAATCGGCCTGTGAGGCATTTCTTCCAAAGCTTTGATCCGCTCTGCACCCTGCAGTTTCCAGCCGTCTACAACACAAAAGTGCGCTTACTTCCAACTGGACTTGGAATGTGTGCACTCTATTATACTTCACATCCTGATCATGCCGACTTGACGACTTGATACTTGCGAATTTTATATATCCGTGGAGTCCTATGCCTCTCCGCGCAGCAGCAGTCTCAGCAACTCTGAAGCCACAGAGACAGCAATGGAGTTGCCGACCACCTGGCACACAAGTGGCTTCAAACATCACAAATCCTAATAAATGGCTTCAAACATCACAAAGCTTAAAGCTTAAAGCCTCAAACATCATAAATGGCTTCAAACATCACAAATCTAAAAGCTTCAAACATCATAGATGGCTTCAAACATCACAAATCTTAAAGCTTCAAACATCACAAATGGCTTCAAACATCACAAATCTTAAAGCTTCACACATCACAAATGGCTTCAAACATCAAATATCACAAATCTCCAACTGCAAAATCCTTTGAGAGCTGTTGCATGCGTTTGCCGTTTTTTTGCTGCTCCTGCTCCATTTCTTTCAAGTGCCCAAGGGCCCACACAGAAATCCACCGACATCGACCGATCCCCAAACAGTTGTGTAAAACCTCATGGCTCCCCAAGCAAGAATGGCTCTGTAGACCATGCAATGTAGGCTGAGACACATTCTTGTCTATTGATGGTATTGCTGCTTCCATAGAAGCAAAACCCTTGACATGCCTTGTAGCGATGTTTCAACTCCATGTCCCTTGGCAACTTGTAGCTTTCAGGAAAGCCCAAGAAGTTCAAAATCTCCTTGCTTGCTTGGTGCTGCCGCGGAAGGTCATGGCTAAAAGCTGGCTGGGAACTGTGCCTTGACATCTTCAAGAGTTTACATGGGAATGATTCAATATGATCAAACGATTTCATTACATGTTACTTAAAATCACTACATACCACAAAAAGTTTGACTCATGAAGAACAGTTTCTCTACCTCACAGTCTATGGGCAAGAATTGACATGTTTGAAGTTTGATGGTGGTGTTTTCTTCTGCATCTCCTTAGGGCTGAAGAAGCGCACCAGGCCCACACTCTTTGGCAAAGCGGAGCGATCCACAGGCTCATCTGCCAAGTAAAGCAAAGAACCACTGGACTTGTGCATCACCTGCATCATGTGTGGCGTGGCCATCTTGCACAATCTTTGAAATCACAAAGCCTGACTCCCCGCATGAAGCGAGCAATGAGAAAAAATCAGTACAACTAGTACACTTTCAGACACTTCTTCTGGACTGTAGCTGGTCAGCTAGTCATGGTAGTTCAAGACTACCCATCTGTCGGTTTCCTTCACCTTTCATTCTGAGCTCTTCTTGTGGCTTTCCAGGAGGCAACATAGAAAACCAACGAATTATATCATATTATATCCAAAAGATGGATGGCAAATGCGTCTTTGAGTCGATCATCGCGGAAACCGCCTTGCCGTAATGGCCGGTAAAGCAGAAACTCCTGACATCCTGAAGATCAGAGGTGTTCATCCAAAAGTCCGCAAAGACTTGAACAAGTCATGTCGAGTCAAATCGTAGCCATCAATTTCTTTCTAGGCAATTCTAGGCATCTTGTCTGATGGAAAATTCCATGCAAATCCTCTTGGCAGATCTTGGCATTACATTGCAAGCTACCACATAGCTACCAGAGGTCCTTGCGGCCAACATAGCTGAGTCCAGGTGCATATGGTCGTGAAAGCATCTCTGCTGAAAGGCTTAGCCTGAAATGAAAGCGGAGCACTCACCGAAAGCAGCGGAGAGGATGGCAAATCTCAGCAGGCTGTGATCGATCTCAGCGGTGCGATGAGGCAGGCCCGCTTCTCAACATGAGTGAGTATACAGGTGCGGTGAGTGAACCCAGGCTGTAGACAGCTGTGAACATGTCGAAATCCAGGCTCAAAGAGTGCTTGTCAACATGCACAAAGCAAAGCAAGATTCTGACAATTGCTAGTCCATCCACCGAAAAGCCAAAGCCACAAGAGCTAAGAATTGTCGCGGCAATCTTGACGCCGAGAATCTCCGCTATCTCCTCTTCTTGAAGCTGCTCCAAGAAATCGCCCACAGGTCTGCATGGCGACATGTTGGATTGCACAGTCCAAGTCGTTCCTGCCAAGCATTGACATATATGTACATATCAATTACACAATGCTTTACATACATCATACATCATCATACATACTAAATATACGCATTAAGCGGTTTGCAAGATGCTTCAAGTGTTTCAAGATCCATTATTCCACATTGTTCTGTCAAGATTGGCCAAGTCTCTAAGATGGCACCACATAGATTCCCTTGGGTTCCCTTGGCACAACCCTTCTGTGAGTCCCCAACTAGTACTCCAAAACTAGCTTGGGTCAAACATCTCTAGCCTCCAAACCTCAATGATAAAGGATAAATCAAGATGATTGACTAACATGACTTGAACCTGTCTGGCCATTCTTTGACCCACTTCAATTAGTTGACAAGCCTTATTTATCCTTACATTGATTATCCAAAATAATTACGCTTGTGGGCAATTCACGTGAATTCAACACAAATCAAAGCCATGGGGGGCCTTCCACCGTCTGGCCCAGCTGTAACAGTTGTTGAAGGTCCCCATTGGTGTCCAAGACTTGCGGCTCTTCAAAGCACAACAGCAATGCATCACTTCTGGCACGTGGCAGTGGCAGTAATTTCCATTTCGAAGTGCCTCACAGGTTAGACCATGTCACGTTGGAAGACAAGTGTATGTTTTGAGCGCAGAATTGCCATGCTCATGCGTGAAAATGACTGTATGTAAACAAATATAATACTAGAATGCAAGGCAGCCCACAGGGTGGACTCCCATAGCAATACAGATGTGCATGTGAAACAACAAGAATAAACGCAAGTTCAAGTGTATATATGACACAAAAAATGTTAGGAGTTCGAGAAGGCTTTGGAACTTGATTGTTGGCTTTAGCGTGCTTTAGCCGCGCCTGCTAAAGTCAGGTTGTCTTCAGTACAGCTCTGAGGAAGGCGGCAGGCGACCTGCATTCAGAACGGTAGCTACACGGCTACGGGTGAAGGCCGAGAACGAAGACTTTGAATACAACAGCAAGGTGCTAACTTTATTACCTAAACCTTTAATGGTTGCACGTTTTTCCGGCGAACCAAGGAAATGAGCACCTTGTTGGAGTTTCCTAGCAATTTTTGATGACACGAGCCACATTTTAATGTGTTTGATGAAACGAGCATGTTTTTCAAGATGTTGAACACTAGAGTATGCTGAAATCTTCTTGGGCCAAAGGTGGACACCCGCAAAATGCATGCAAATTTACGGCAGAACGAGCGTAATTTAAAAGTGGCGAACCACCCCGACATGGGTTGGATATGATGGGGATCCATGCGTGTTTTTTGTGTGTTTGTAGCGCTTTTTGCTTGAAGGAGCACTTTTGTGAAACGCTTCATATATATAATATACAATTATATAGATTTAAACTGGTGATGTTTATATAATATTTATATTTAAACTGGTAATGTTTTCGCTTCTCCAAGCAAGCGTTCTCAAATGACACTGAAATGCAACCATATCGCCCGATATCGCCCGATTCTGCCCTATTGTATCTTAAACAATCCAGAAAGTGGAGCCTGTTAAAGTGGCAAATCCGTTCATTAGCTTGTTCAACGTTGAATTCTACGTACGACGCACGGGTCGATTCCGTCATCGGCACGGAGTCCTGCAGGTGCTGCAGAAAGTTTCGCCTCTCGGTGCGGAAGATGTTCTCCTGCGGTGTCGCAGATATGCTGTCTATATAGTCACTCCTACCCGTCGTACCCTTCCACCGAATCGTCACAAAAATGTGCTAGAATCGACAATGACAACAACAGGTGTCTATTGAGTCTATTGATCAAAAGCACTTTCTCCATTCACTTCTGGTAACCAACGGCTATGTATAGGGCCTTGAAATTCATGTATCACACAGTGTCACTCCTTTTGGTGAGGCCTTGCCCTGGCGGAGGCATGCGCTTCATCCAGGGAGTGACGACGATTTGCCGCCCATGGTCCAGAAATCAGAACTCCTGAAACCAAGTCGGTGCAGGAAAGACAGCGAACATTTGTCCTGAAAGGATTCTCTTGTTCAGCTTCCTTGATCGTCTCTCAGAGCAAAGCTCTCATGGTTTACAACTTGGGCAGGTGCACAATCCGAGACAACGCAAATTCACACTGTTCTTTGATGATTCATAGAGGATCATAGAGGTTTGCAACACAGTACGACACAGGACTTCTGTTCACCCACCTGGTGGCAAATGCTCCTTGTTGGGCCTTGGCAAACAAGCATGACTTGCCTATAGGCTTATAAACTTATAGGACATCTCTTCTACAAGCCACTGGACATCATCTTTACCTACATCCGGGTCTACTTGCATCCAAAGCCTTGGAAGCACCTGCAAAGGCCATCAAAGGCCATCATATTTCGTCCTCTGCTTGAATCTAAGCCCGGCACCTCACGCAAGGTGGTGGTAGCGACTGTAGGTTCTTGGTCTCTCGCTCTGCCAGAAGGTAGTAGCGAGTACGATGATTGGGCGTTCCAAAGCTGATCAAATCAAGGATAATCCTAACATGCAGTGCTGAAAGCGATTGAAAGGGTTGCCCAAGCAACGATTGCATAGAACCGTGCCCATGAGCCCATGCCCAAATGTGAAACTGAGTTCGAGAAGCTTGGCTTTGCCGCTTAGATTCGCCAACAGCCTCTTAACCAAAGCATGACTTGTGTCATAGTTGTGACGTCAGGCAAAACACCCCCGAATCCAGGCGGATTCACTTTTGTGGAGTCGGAGCTGTCCCGTAGCCGAAAGTCTCACGATCACGGAAGCCAGCACTTCTCAAAGCAGCTCTCCATTTGCCGCATGCATCACTTCCATGAAAGCCTGGAGTGCTGCGAAGCAAAGCGATCCAAGCTACCTATTTGGGTCGCTGTCGGATCGAAATGAAGGCGATAGAAACGAACCAAATGAGTGCGTGAGCTATCCGTCCAGTGTAGTAGCGTCTCAGTAGCTACCTCCTCTATCCGCGGCCTACCCCCGGAGCCACGGCGACCCGATTGCTTTGTTCGATTGCTGCAGCGGTGCTGCAGCCGACATGCACGTCAAATATGTGGCAACACAAATCGGCCACAAATGTTTGTACTGCAATCCCTCTCATCAGCATTGCATTTGCATCAAACACAAAGGAATCTGACGAAGTCGTCTTTAGAGGACCTGTGTGGCTAGGAAAGTTGACCATACAGGTTGTGGTGAGTATTGTATACCTATATTACAGTAATATGTACAGTGTTAATCGGCCAACCGTTTATCAAACAATAGTACATTCAATACATTCCCTGAAACACTTCGATGGTTGGAGTTGGAATAATTCCAATGTCCAATGTTTGTCCTCCGGAATTATTCCTGTTTCTTGTGATTCGATCCTACTCTATTTCTTCAACATCAAGAAGCCATTGCTTTCCGCTTTCCAGAGAGTGCTGGAAATCTTTGGACATCTTTTCCATGTTTGCGTTCTTTCCGCAACTCATACCAGTCACACACACAACATGCCTCCAACCGAGTTGGCAGTGGGATAGCCCATAAATTGACCAAAGATAGACACACGATCACAATGGATCGGAATCATATTATATTTCTTTTCCGTTGATTCTTTGAATCCTCCTTTGCTGACTCACAGATCACTTTTTCAAAGACAGCTTTAGTTACACTATGTTAAACTGAAACCTGTCACAAGGAATTTGGAACTCTGTAGTTAAGCTGGCTTAACTTACCATCAAATTGGTTCCAGTCCGAGATCAATCAAGGTCCAACACTAAAACATTATAACATATCATTACATTATGTAGAAACACAATCTTTACGGGACTATACCTAGGAATCTGGGATGATCTGGGGCCTCATGCAAGTTTTATCAAATCTTTCAGGAAGCTACTCAACAGCTTACGTCGGTGCTTGAGCAAATCTTGAGCTCCATCGTGCAATCGGTAAGCCTTTGACGTTTTCCAAGGCGATCCATCGAGGAGGTCGTTCAAGTTTGGGCAACATCTTGGTCAAATGCTCCAGGGCAGCACAGCGCTTGTCCTGACCCAACGCAGCATATCGACAGCACCCAACGCAGCTTGTTCTGCTTGGGGAATGCCGAATCCCCACATTCTGACCTGTAGTCTCATTGACTTCTTGTCGGGGCTTCCCACAAGCACAATGTGGTGTCGTGGCTAGAAGCTGCAAATGCTATTCGCATGGAGTCATTGGAAAGCAAATCTCCTGAAGATCCCGTTGTTTTGCTTCTCGTGTAGTCGAAAATGGCTGGCAGGGTGGTGACATCAACCACCTCGATTGAACATAGAAGCTTGTCCAAATCTATCCACATGGGTCTTGCAGGATTCACTGGCAGCTCGCAGTGTCTGGCACCGACTGAATGCTGAAAACGATTGCAGCTTTCGGAAAGAGAATCAGCAACAACGAGTTAAGATTCGGAAGGGGGCTAAGCTGCTGAGCTTACTTGTTTGCAGGACTTCTGCAGCTGCAGCTGTTCTGGAACTGTGTTTGTTGTGTTTAGACATCTTAAGGCACTTGTTCATGGCACGTTCTCGAGTTCTCGATTCACAGGGTATACACAGTCTAAGTGTTTCTCAGGACTTGACAGGCTCAATCTGAGGTGTAACTGCTGCGTTAACTTGTGTTACACTATGTTACACTTGAGAATTCTTGCTGCCCAAATGCAAATCAAAACCGTCCAGTTCCTTGAGACCCAGCTGTTCCTGGGACAAAGTCAGGTCGTGCTGACATGTCAAAGACCTTGCAGCCTGATCACCCTGACACAGGGTCTCAAAGCCAAAGTGTCAAAGGGTCCAGACATTCAACGACAGTATAATTTATATATGTCATGTAAGCCACACAGAAACTTATATAACAACCCACCCCTTCAACGGGTCAAAAGTCTCATCGGGCAAACAAGAATATACGCCAATCATACATACATCACGAGGCACAATGTTCCGCCGGCAGCAGCTCTCGCCAAAGTTTTGGGCATAAACCTCACCTGATTAGCATGGCTGCGCGATCACAGAATGTACAGCAATTCCATAGTTCTCGAACGCCGTTTCTGTCATTGATTATTGACACCACGCTGTCTACTCACAACTAGGGATGTCACTGCAGTGAGGTCCACTGTCGTAGGCTGAAATGGAGGCGCCACAAGCGGCCGAGTCAAGCGCCAAACGCCAACCTCCGATGCCAGCAAAGAGCTCCAGCACTTGGAGCTTTTGCCTTGGGGGGCATCCGCACACATGCAGTACCATTGTAGCACAGCAAAGCATATCATTGTTTCCGCCCTCACACCAACCCTCACAATCCCGTTGCAAACAGGTTTGATGCAAAACCTGCTCCTGAACTTGTGCTTTGCGGCCTCATCAGAATTTGGTGGTTCGCCCTCAAGTGAGAAACACAACAAAAAGGAGTATTTTACTTCGAGGGATCCTCACTGTGACAAAAGAACTACTCAAGACAACCTGACAAATGTCGCAGAAAACTAAATGGAATTGCTCATGTACAAATGTGTGGATGATATGTCAAACATCTAAACATAACAACGCTATGTACTCTGAAAAGACCTTGGTATGTACCCTCAGAGCTAATTTCAAAGAAGAACACATGCACTAACAAACTATCCTGACAAATGACCCGAAACTCTGACTGACAGTTGAGTCCGGTATATATAAGCACTGGTGCTTCATCCAGCATTTGTACTTTCTTGTATTGTGACAAATGAATTTCTAGATATTTCTAGCATATGTTCTGACATGTGCAGGATTGAAATTCGGGATAACATCCTATTTATCTGCGACATCGGTATGGGCGGAGGGCACGGAGTGTGTGTGTGTGTGTGTGTGTCCACTCCTGTTTCCAAGGACACTACCCTAGTTTTTCTAATCTTTCCTACCAGCGTTTCTGTACAGAAGCAGGGGGACATGGCGTGCGTTCAGGGACCATGTCCAATGAAGCTACCTGATGCACGGGATATGAGAGCTGATCACTCTCACGTACCTGCAATTTTTCAATTCTTTGAGATGTCTAAGTCAGAGCAACGCCGTCTCATACGTTGTTTCCTGCAGTAACTAGATTTAAAGGGCTAATGCACACCGCGAAGCTACCTGAAATCACGCTCCACGGAGCAACCTTCTCAAGTGTGTCTTCGCAGCTTCTTCCCACTGTGGTGAGCTGTGTGATCCCTACGGGGCGCCGTTACCGCAAGAACCTGTTCACTCCTCACCGAAGGAGTAAGTTTCCTGAATTTTCTCTGAAGTCCCTTCGACTGAATTTGACCTGCTCGAAATCAGCTTGGATCGTTTCACCCAGCACACGTGAAGATTACTGCAGAGTTCACTGAAATCTTTCCTGAATCCCACTGCAGAGTTAACTGAAAGAGTTTCACCCGGGAAATCCATTCATACCTTTCCAATCTTTTTAACCTTTCAAATCTTTTTAACTCTCCAAGTTTTAACTCCATTTTCCAGAATTTTAATTGCGATTATTCAATACACTTCACGACTCCACGGACCTGTATTTATGTATTTTTTTTATTTTTGATACTTACCTACATATTTTCACTGCCTTTGACCTGCCGAGCAGCCATGACGTATCCCTGGCCCTATTCTTTGCCGCCACACATCCATCCACAACCACAACCTACACAACCTCATTGGATTCAATATCCACCACAGGCTTCACCACAACCTTTTTCAACACTGCCACCGACTCCACAGCAACACCCAACCTCACACCACTACCCAATGCCCCTTCCACCTCCACCTCATGCTCAATACATTCAATCACATCAATTTCAGGCACATTTTCCAGTGCAACCTACAGCTCCCTTCGATACTACCCAACTTGCGCAACAACATCCACATCTCACAACTCAATCGCCACGATCCCCAGCTCACACACATCTTACATTGCCACTTCAGTCTCAATCTCAATCTCAACCACCTCCTCATCAACTACATCAACCACATCTACCACATCTACCACATCAACTACATCCATCACCACACACGACACATCAAACCCCTGCCACAACATCTTTTCAACCACCACCACTACAAGCACCTGATGTACTACAAGCACCACCACCTGATCCAACAACAATCACTTCACAGCAGTTGACCACACCAACTCCACCACCACCACCTTACACCTCAACCACCTCACCAGCGACTTCTCAACCTGCTTCAGCAACCATCAACACACCCCCACAGCCACCACACCACATACCACGCACTTCCAAGCCAACACCATCCATTGCACCCACACTCAGCACTACAAGAGGCATTTGGCGCGACCCAGATCGCTCACCACCACGCACACCTGAACACCACCGCTACTCAGCCTTTCCAGCCGTACCTTCCATTGCACCATCACAAGCTACATCCAGATCCAGGAGCCGCACTCGGTCACTACGTACCACACGCTCTCCACTACCAAGACGTCGAAGCTCCGCCACACAATCCGTGGCTAGTTCTCAAGCTCAATCCAAACCTGCAGACAGACCAACATCACAATCACCAGCAATCACCCAAGACAAAGCTCACACTTCCATCCAAAACATCACTCCAGCTGCTACTGAGAAACACACTCCAGAGCCACCTCGCCGTGCTTCCAGCATTACACTCAAGCCCAACCCACATTTCACTCCCAAACACTCCACACAACAGACACCTCCACCACCACCACCAGCACCAATACCTGAAATTCCAGTCCAACGTCGACCTCGCAACTTACCTCCTCCCACATTCCAACCACCCACAGATCCGGCACACTTGGAGGTCTTCCAATGGCTCAACCGCTACGCACAAGCACTTGATGTCAACAATGAACCCATGCTTTCCTACGTAGCCAAAGTGCTCAGTGCAGCTCATCTCAACAGCACCCACTTTACCGACCTACAACTTCTCACCCACAAAAAATGGTGCGAAGACACCAGCAAAGAAGAACACTTTTCCTTCCTACTACTCACAATCCCCACATTAGCGAGCAGGGGCGACGCCCCGATTCTTCCTCCTACACGGAGAGAGGCGCTGAACATACCACCTATCAAACACATTTTTGCGGCACACGTGAGCGAGGAGGGCAACATCATTTCAATACTTGAAGCAGGAGAAATCGTGCGATCTATTCTACATGATGCTCACAATGTGGGATATTTTTGTCAGGCGTTCGAATTGTCGAACTACGAGCCCCATGATGCTGCTGAAGCTGCACGCGTTCTCTTCAATGCTTCCAACATGGCCAAGAACCGCAGCGGTCTCATTTTGACGATCAAAGCCTATGGACACGGCCAGAAAGTCACCCATGGTGGCGAATCCGCAGCGAATGACTTGCTGCTCAGAGGAGAGGGGATTGTAAAATACACCCCAGGCAAATGCTGGGTGGCCCATCCCAAACATTCCAGAATCGAAGGGATAGCTTGGAAAAGCGATGCAAAGCCACCGCTCAGTTTCATTTAATTCAATCTATCCAGCTCACGAGGTTCATTTTTCACCCAGTATCTTGGATGACGACCTAGCCTCAAACAATCTCAGCCGGCTCGCTTGATATTGATATTGACTCTGATTTTCTCACACATCGTTGTCAACTTCCTTTTCTTCCGATATATCATTCTTGTACAGATTGATGCCGACAACGTGATCTTTTTTACGGTGATTTTTCCAGCTTTCCAGACTTGCAGCATGTCAACTTTCCGGGTTGTTATCAGCCTTCTTGAAGAGAGTCACAAGCACTTCGAACAGAGTCGCAAGATTTCCTGTGATTTGCAACCTGCCCCGCAGCCATTTTGTATTATCTTGAATATTGAGCTCGATCCCAGACGACCAGCCGAGCTATATTTGCCTCTCGACGACTACCACGACGATGACTTCCCCTTTGGACACGGCATTTGCCCATCGGCTTCTCTTAGCACACCTTCAAGCAGCCACCTCCATTGCTACTACTTTTCAAAACCTTCCACCATTTACACCGCAACTACCACAACAAGCACATCACCCACAGCCAGACACACTCCTCCTCCATTGCAACCACAGCCGTCTTTCTCACGCAGCCGCAGTCCGCCTCCCGCTGAAGGCAAACCATTCATGGAGTGCAAACCAGAACCTACTCCTTCACATACGCCCACTTCCCCACATCAGTTTTCACCACACCGCCACAAGTCCAAAGCGACTCACCAACACAAGAACAATACAGACCTCCCAAAACAGCATACACCACCAATCACAACGATTTCTCTCACCAGTTCGCCCAATTCACCTCCACAAACATCACCAGTTCCACCGAATCCGCCACCTTTGCCACCTGCATCACCAGTACCACCATCCAAGCCAGCACACCTCCTCACGGATTCACCACACTATCCTGACAATGGAGGATGGGAACCCAGTGAAGATGAGAAACTTGCGGCCTTCAAACTCAACAAACGATCTCGCCCCAGTTGGAAATACATAGCAAAAGCACTCAACAAAACACCTTTTGACTGCAAAGGTCGATGGCAAGTCTTGCGAATTCTTTATACACCTCAACAGCCAGACAGTCCAGAAGCAGAAGCATCATCACCACACAAGGCATCTCAACAAGCAGAGGCAACTCCTCCAGCCACAAAAGATGCCAGTACGATGACTACAGAACCTCCGGATCTGACTGCCAAAGAGACATAGAATACTCAACAGCAGTCTATGATCGTCCAGACACTGCTTTCCACGACTTCTTGGCGCCGAAGAACATCCCGAACTATTGATGCCTTTGTACGGTATTTTATTGTCAATTCGTACATATTTACATATTGGCTTATTGCTTTCTGTCGTTCTAGCAGTTGCGAGCAATAGACTCCAACCCACAACACACCATTACAGCTTTCTTCCACACGCGCAGCAAACAACAAGATTGGTCGCCAGCATTGCATCTTTTGCTTGAACACTTGCCACACACGACAAACTCGACCACTGAAGCATCGCCAATACTGTGTACAGACCAGTTGATTCCGTCTAATTCATCGTTTCATTGCATCCATGCGAATCACTATTGAATGGTCTCCCTATTGTTGAACAGGATGAATTTTTCTCTTCCTTGTTTTTCTTTTTGGGTGATTTTGACCGCTTTTATGTCTCCTTTTTGATGCATTTTGAAGTACTTGCAGCTTGGCTAGTTCAACTTAGCTCAGCCTTCCATTCTTGTACAGTTTTTCTCTCGACGACGACATCGCGATGGATTCAGATCCT